TAATAATTAATGTTTTTTCTCTTCTATTGTTCCCCACAAGCTAACAAGTAGGTGCCACACAGTGTGGATTATTGCATAACTTCTACTGGACTACTTTACCACCTGATGTTTTCTCAAATTACTCACATTTAATGGTCAAATTTCTTGCATATTTTCACTCCGCTAAAGAGGTAATGTTTTCGTTTCGATTTGTACGTTTTTGTGTATTTCTTTGGAGGATTACAGCAAATCTACTTGCTCAGTTTTCATGAAAATTGGAGGAAGAGTTGTGGGCGTGGGCCATGGATGAACCCATTCGATTTTGGAGCGGATTGGACAGATACACGTTAATTTTCACTAATGGAAATATGAAACAGCCTTGGCTTTGTTCATGTTACAGCATTTGAGATGAAAAAAATGAGACTTGTAACTCCATTCTAAAGGACACTGAGATTAACTCCTTTGAGGCTGCAAATACAGAACTGTTTCTTTGCCATCTATACTGCCCTCTAGTGGACCAAGCTAGCTAATGTCAACAATGATGCACCCCACAACCCAAGTTTAAATCTTTTAATTGTATTCTGTATTTGTAGTATTTTGCAGAACAATTTTACATAATAGACCACATAGAAGGATACACACATAAAATAAGGTTTTGGTCAATTTTAGCTGCACACTCTTGCAGAATAACTTGTTGTGCGAGACAATACAACTGCAGTCAAAGACAAACTGCTCAGAATGTGGCTGTCACAAAAATATTTTAAACAATATATCACCATTTAATTATTTGTGTTACCTCTAGCCTACAGGTGGTGCACTGGCAGTTAACTCAAAGGTGTAAAGTGTAGTAAGGTCTGACATTTACATGTTAATGTTATTAGTTTAGCACTAATGACTGACATCTGTCGCCCCCAGGAAAATAATTTTTAGCAAGAACATTGTTATAGTTGTAAGGATTTATAGCTTAAAATAGCTAACAACTTAGCCTATTTAATTTTGGAGATACTGTGAAGTGAATGTATGACTTAATCTTCAGAGAATTTGTTTGTTCTATTAATGTATTTACACGTTATTGTAAGAGGGGCTTCTTAAACTGCACCACTGAACTTTAATTTAATGCGTTGCTTAGGGACATCTTGAATGATTCTTATTCTCACTACGAGAGAAAAGGCGTAGGAGTAAAACTAATTACTTAAAAAGTAAAACTGTGAATATTATGGTTTATTCCATTGTGTTATTTTTAGACCAAGTTCATTTAGGACACATTTCTGAATGAAGTTGCAGATATTTTCAGCTGATACATATCTACTGAAGTGTTGAGTTGCATTTTCCCTTCACACTAAATAGGCTGCAACACGGCGGTGATTTGCTGTAACCAGTGACAAAGGTTAACTTTTAACTACATCCTGTCAGATCAGTTCCTCGAATGGTCTTAGTAACAAAAGCTTAAGTCAGGAAAACACTGCTTCCTGTGTAATGGCCCTTTAAACTGTAAGTATTTGAAAGACAATTGCTCCATATATTTTGTTGATAATCAAAATCATATTTTATCAAAGTAACTACGTAGGCCTTTATATTCAACCAAATAGTGTACTCAAGTACTTTTTTATTTATTTTATGGTAGACCATAGGCCTACTTTATCCTTATTTCTCAGTAGGACTCTGTGTTGTTTTTGTCCCACTAAATTAATCTTGTAATTTAAATTAGATTAGATTAACAAATGAAAATATGATCTCCACCTTTACCACCTAATGCTGAAAATATGTACATTAATCCATGAAAAATCTAATATAATCCATTATATATTACAAAACATTACCCTCCAGATTAAGACCAGCTCTGCCAGATTCAGAAAGCCCCCTTTAATATTTCACCTGATGAGCCCAGAGTAAAAGCTTGTGTTTGATGAAACTAGAAGGGAATACATGACACAAGTGTGATTTTTGTGAGATTGTGAAAACGCACCATTGAAGCCACAACAACGCAGCACTAACAAGGGGTTGCTTTTTTTTTGTGCAGTAAAAGTGGCCATTAAAACTGCAGTGGACTCTGAAGGTGATGGTTTTACTATCTTAATGTGATCTATTTATAATCGAGTCTCAACCACAGTCTATGTTAAAACATATAAACAAAGCTGATTCTGATCGTCAGAGACCACAGTGTAAAAATGAAACAACAGACTTCATCACGGAGTTCCCCAGTGAGAACGATTCGGTAACTTCGTTCGTGTTATTGAATGTCTGTTATAAGAATTCAACAGCATTTACCTTTGGATGCCAATGCTAATATTCCCTTGGGCTTTTTTTTAACCCAGAAACTTAGAAGATTCCCCCATAGCCTAATCTTGTGAAGTTTAATATTTAATATTACTCAAGGTAACTATTCGTTTTAAACATCCATTGTCAAAAATGTAATATCAGTCTTTAGCCAAATTTGTACTCAACAACTTTTGTTTTTACTTATTTCAACCAAATAACTTTACATAACTGTTTCTGTTGATGATTCGGCTCAGAGAAGACAACTAGAGGAATCATAACTGGAAGAAGCTGTCTGCCATGATCGCAATGGTGGAGAATAACTATTATATACCATAATCCCATGGTCATTTCCACCACCAATATCCATCTTTTGTTATTGTTTTGATTAAGAAACCCATGGGGGCAGGAAACTAGCCTCCATATTGTGTGTTTAGGATGTCATTGCTGGTGTTATACAGTGGAAACTTGAATACAGTGAGTATAATATCCCCTTATCAGATGTAGAATCACTGCTGACATCCAATCTATATACCCCCCCCCAAGAAAAGTTAATTCATAGCATTCTATTTCCATGTAAATTACTGCTTTATTTTTATTTGTATTGCTATTTAACTATATTTTATTACGGTGTAAAATATTTTTTGTTTTATATTAAATTCCTTTTTTTTGTATTTTATGTATGCACCATGACATCAAGTCAAATTCCAAGTCAATAACCCTGTTTCTGATTCTGATTCTGATAGAGAAAGACTGTTGGCCTATCCCCACCTCGCTGGAAGACATGGTTCTCTCTTTTCTCTAAAACGTCTTTCTCTCTCTGTGCCTTGAAATAAAAACACCTCCATCAGAGTGCAAAGATGGCATACCATGTGGTCAATCATGCTTCAGCCACATGGATCCCCTATCCTCATTGAACACGATGGACTCACTTGGCACTAATGTCTCCAGCCCTTTGGTTAAAGATGAGTAACCATGGGACAGAATTTAAAGGTATTGTAGCCTACACAACATATTTCTGTATTCAAGGAGCTATTCCTGAACAGTTCCTCATTTGTAAAGTACGATGTGACATTCATCATAATTGCCACCTGCATATCACCTCGTACAGGAAATGAGCAAACACAACAGAAACTGATTCCTCCTTGAAAACAAGGCCTCAGAATGTTGTGTTAGTGTCAGGTAATATCTGCACTCTTTATCAGTATGTACTTGTGTTTAATGTTGTGAACACAATGTATTCTATCTCATGCGTTAGATGTCTTAAAAGTACAAAAATAATTGTGTTTAAATAACCACAATTCATTGAAAGTTAATGCAGCATGTTATATACAGTAGTTGGCAAAACTGCATCGAAACAATTGAGAAGAACTGCAGCAGGTTAAAGTTAAACCTCAAAAATACAATGACCTCTAGTGGCAGAGAAGTGTTTGTCCAACATTAAGCCCAACCCTTCTTAGGGCGCAAAATGGGGTTTTAGATTGTATTAGACTGGACTTGACTTTGGGCTCTAACCTGCCATCAAGCTAGAATATAATTACCTTACAAGGTAATACCACAAAATGCTATGAAATACTACAGATGACCTAAAGTGACTTTATTAATTTACATGGGGAAGTGTATCTGCTCCATTTGACTCTTTCTAACCTGCAGTCACAGAACAGTGAGGTTTTTAAACCACAAAGGCTTGTACCTAACCTCAGCAACGGATGTAGCATCATTTATTCGCAAACTACGTTTCTATCTATCAATTAGCCTACTGATTAATCGACTCACTGTTGCACAATGCAGCACCTGGAGGTCAATACTAGTTTTAAAGACATTGCCTTGTTCTGCAGTGGCAGTAAATGCTACAAAAGTATTTATTGGTCAGGTTGTTCTAAGCGGGTTTTACAAGAGCTACGTGCTAAGCTTTGTTTCATTTTGTGTGTTCAAATGGCATTTGGCTTTGACCTTTACTGCTAGTGACATTACGTGAGATGTCTGCACACCTACCTGGTGATTTCAATACCACAAAGGCCCACCAATGTACACAAATCATTCATTGTGTTGTTTAATTGTTAAGATGGCATTTTATATACGCAAACCAAAAAGGTGTGTTATGCTTTGACTCCTGTTGGAAAACATGTATATTATCCAGTTTTAAATGATTGAGGTTAATATTAAGAGTTGATTTAATTATTAAAATTAAGCTCTTAGGGGCTTTAGAGCACGATGGTGACTAATTTAGCTTCAACAACATCTGCTGAAAACCCCCTGATAAGAGTCTATTAAGGGTATCAAACCACATCTCTGGTGTTCAGAATCATCTCAGTACTGAAACATATCTCAGTACTGAAACATGTATGAGTTGTGTTTTGAGATACTAAATTAAAACAAGTGGCTACCTTTGTAATGATTATTGCAGTTCTTGAAATGCAGTAAAACACAAACTGTTACAGTTGAAAGTATCTCCATATTTCTGAATTTTCTTTGACTGAAAGTGTATTGTTTTTCTAATTTAGTATTAGTATGCGTCTTCCTTTTATTGAGGTGGCATCATTATGACGGCTACATTTTTTTATAGAAGATATTTTCGGTTTCCTGTTGACTTTTTTTTCTTTCTGGTTAGCTGTTGCATATTCAAGCAGAGTGGAAGTGGGCGGAAGGATCTACAGACTCAAAATCTCAAAGGGTCTGAAACCACATCCTTCGTCACGCCACCAATGATGATGATGTGTTCGCAGTGACACCAACATTGTTCCATGAAACATTCACACAGACATCAGCGCATCAGTGACTCAGTCAGATGCTGAAAGTTTAGGTGGAAGGATTTCAAATTTAAATAAGGTAAGATACGGTTGATTTATTACATTTATTTGTAATGAGAAAAAGAGAATAGTGAAGAAAAATGTTTTTATTATAAGATGTTCTGCTGGTTTAAGAGATGATTTATGTATTGCCTTTAGTTCTGACCGGTCAATGTCGATGCTCTTTAATGACTGCATTCAATTATTGCTGCTAATGCTAATGTTTTTGGTAGACAGACTTTGCGCCTTTGTGAATTCGATAATTAACTAACCTTTGTCTCAAATAAGCAACGAATCACACACATAGTCTCAATTTATTTTTCTTTTAAAGTTTAACCACAAAACACATTTCTAACGAGAATGTCTATATTTAGTTTCAGATGCTGTTTTATTCCGTCTAACCAGCGGCTGATAACAGTGGGTTTTCCCCATGGCTCTTAAACACCTGTTCTTATTGTTGCTGTGGAACCTCACTTTGATTCCCCATGTTGGTAAGTTTCCTTAACTTATTGTTATCTTACTCTTGTATTGACATATATTTCTCTCACAAAAATGTCATATATTTGAGATCAAGTTATTATTTTACTCTTCTTCATTGTGTTTGTCTTGATGCTGCGGCCTTGCCCGACTTTTCCTTTAAAAACATTTCTGTAGTTCATTGTGATTTCCTTAAAGAAACAAGTTATTAGACGTTTATAGAGCATGCCTTTTAAATAAAATAAATGCAATAATCATTGACCACACTTTCCTTTTTTGATGCAGTCACGTCTTTGTGCAATGTCAGCTGCACGACAGATTTTAAGGCCTCACTGAACTGTTCCTGCCTGGGCTCTGTGCCGCCATTCACTGTCCTACTCAATGTCACGTGCAGGTACAGTACAAGGTGTTAAGGGTCACTGATGATTCTGATTCATGTTAGTGCATTTCAAGTTTGTCAATTTATTGAATATAAACAATACTATATCATATCAGATGGTCTATAGTCTGAGAGACAGCTGTTCATTTCCCCCTCTGAATTCGGTTTTAGATATTGGGCTTTTAGTAATATCCATGACATTTAGTTTAATCCTAAAACGTCAGTTGTTAAGTACCTTGCTTTGATATGATATAAACACTTGTTGGACTGTTTATCTAAATAATCAATTGTATCACATTGGCTGTCTGATCATTTCATTACTTGAGAAAATAATACTCAGATTGATCGATAATAATGATTCATAGGAAGTATGACAGCGAGAAATGCACTGGGAGCTTAACAGATTTAACACTGTGTTATCTGTTGCAGTTGCTACGACGATGTGTTTCATGGCAGCTGTGAAGTCAAACCCCCTCAGTCCTGGTGCGTAATTCAATCAAAGGACATTGATGATGTTGCATACGTTGAAACCAACTGTACCACGACAGTCAGTCAACAGGGTGATGATCGACTTTTAGTGAATGCCAGTGAGCCGTGGAAGCTGGCTGATGTGGGTAAGTTAAAAACACTTTGTGATGTTGAAGATTCAGTGGTTTGCATTTCGCTGAACAGATAAGAAGATAACACAGAATTAAATAAGGTCACAGCATTTACATCCCTTATGACGTGTTGAGTGACATGTATGATAAAGTAGTTTTTGAAATATTTGTAGCATGAGAATTATTTACAAATGTAAGACATATTTAAATATGATACATATTTGTATACATATCTTTATATATATATTTAATACTACTTGAACATTACATTTTTACATTTGTATGTCTTTTTATATGTTTCTAGTTATTGTGCTTTTTATTATGTTTTTAATTATTGTTTTATTATTTGACTCCCATTGTGTTATTTTTCAGTTCACTTTGGTCAACTGAGGTTGTTTTAAATGTGCTATACAAATAAATAAAGATTGAGATTGAGATGATATTTACTGTGTATTAAATATGAAAATTAGACATATTTGAAGCACTTTCTCTCCTGTTGAATACTGCCACTTCTTTACAGCTTTCGTTTGAATTACTATACATTAAACATTACATTATTTTCTGGTTTGTTCAAAGGTTTATACAAGTCAGAGATGACTATAATCATACTTTGCAATCAAGCAAACGCCCTCCCACCTGCATTGCCCTCCAGATTAAGACAAACTATAAAATAATGTTCAGCAGCCACTCGTGGTGTAGAGCATCGTTGGCAAACATTTTCAATTTCCTAATATTTCCCTGTTCCCCCTGGGGCTTATCTTTCACAGTGAAACCTCCGCCTCCTGTCGGTGTCCAGGTGACAAACACTGACGGATTCTACAACATCACCTGGCACCACGTCAACAAAAAAGACTGTCTCACATACAGTGTGCGCATAAGAGAGAGCAAGAACTTGTCAAAGGTAATATGTGGGCAAAAATCAAAACAAAAACAACAGGCTGTTTATTATTGTCTCTGCGGAAGAAAAAAAAAGTTATATTCTTTATTCCCTTCTTACAGGATCCAGTTTACTCCCTTTCAGCGGGACCACAAAGGTTCTTCCTGTTAGACAGTGAGAGGCTCCAATCACATGTGCGCTATGCTGTGGACATTCAGGCCAAAATGTGTCCTGATAATTACTATCTTGGTCCTTGGAGCGAGTGGAGTTCCAGTGCAGAATGGAGAACTACAGGAACTTCAGAGATTAAAGGTAGAAGAGCCTGAAGCCATTCAAATAAAAAGACGTGTCTCAATATAAATCAGACTGATCAGGCTGCCAGTCCCATAATGATACTTCATCATTTAAATATTTCAGAGAGTGTGAGAATAGTTTGCAATTAAATATATTTTTCTATGTTATTTGTCCCTTACAGGAATGAATGAACAGTTGTGGTACATCTCCCTGCCTATCATTTTTGTCCTTCTTGTGTTGCTGGGTTGTTCCAAAAAATCGTGAGTACTGTAAACACTGAGTACTGTTACAAGGCCCTGAGCCATGGAGTCGTAAGTGCTGAGTTCCCAGCAGTGATCCACATGTCCATTTTTACCAAACTCAATACATTTTTATAATGTCAACCCCTCAACCACAAAAACTAAATTAATCTGTCTTCAAACTGGTCGTCTTTGACATTCTACTTCTCGCGTTTGGACAAACTTGCAGACATTAATACATTTGAACTGAACAATTATCATTACAGAATTAAAATAAACAAAGTGTGTTATAGGTTAACTGAATCAACACATAATTAAATCGGCAGTCATTACACAAAAAAAGAACTGAGCTGAGTGAAATAAAATGTAATCTTAAGGTCACAGCACTTTGTCTTCCAGTAAACGATTAGCGAAGCTTCTCTCTGCTTCGATCAACATGTTCCTGGTATCACCTCCCACATGTAAAGAAACCACCGCTGTGCTTCATGCAACACATTGCACCAAAATGGCTAGCAGACATAGGAAGTCATGCATAGAATCAGAGAGCTGAAAACACATCACGGTCACGTGAAGAAAAAACATAAGCTTGAACAAATAAATGAACCTGCATTTTTGTTTCCATCTTTGATAGAGGATAATATAAGATGATGAGAGCAATAATTCAACTGTGGTTCTGTTTAATGCACTGCTTACACAAGCTATTTGCAATTCATCTAATTAGTTGCAGCAGTACAGGCGTCCTGATCACTTTGCAGACGTGTGATATTTAGATTAGCTTTTGCTTCAAGTGTTTTAGAGGGATGTTGATTTAACAGGAAGCTCATTTTAGACGCCTCACTTTGTGGTACTGTCGATATATATTGTGTTATACTTAGAAGCGTTTTCTTATATTTACCCAACTACTTTCATATCAATGCTAAAAACACATTTTAATGAATTAGCAATGTAAGCCACACCCTCTAAAATGAAATTAGAAATCCTTTATTTGTCCCGCAACGGAGAAATGTACATGATGGTGCAGATAAAGTGAGGGAAAAAATTGAAAAAAATTGCTAAGTATGCAAATGCTAATAATAGCACAATAAGTAAATAAACAAAAACAAAATAGCAGATATGTACACCATGGTAAAAAAAAATAGCATTATATTAGTGACCATATTGGTATTGAATCAAAGCGCTAGCTGTTACTGTAGGCCAATTGTAAACTGAGAGACATTTTTTAAATCAACACCTCTTTAGAAAAATGTCAGTAAAAACATTGTGACCTGAAGGTGCGACAGAAAAACACAAACAAGGCAAGCTTTTACATCAACATTATTTCCACTGTATTAATTGTATCCATTTAGATTATTAGTGATCATGGAGGCCAATCAAATCCCAAAATGCACACAATTTGTTTAATTAAAGTCATTAGCTAGTCAATTAACGCGTCATTGCTTGCCTCACTTTTTACATGCTAACGGCAAGTGGGAGAAAAGTTACTTTTTAAAAGGCTAAAAGCAGACAAACATGGATTGAAGAAGAATCTTTTGTTAGATCAAAACATTTTGTGTATTTAATCTATCTTTTCAATATATTTAGACTTTAGGACTTTACATTGAGTTGTTGGAAATGTTTGGATCACACAAGCTAGATATAATCCTTCCTAGCCACCACTTGAATCTGCCCTCACATCTGCCCTCACATATTGAAAACAAAATGAGCTCATCAAAAGTGACAGAAATTCAGAAATCATTTCATATTTCTTTCAGGTGGTTGCAGAAAAAACTCCAGCAGATTGTATTCATCCCCAAAGCAGATGAGTTTTTCAAGCCACTCGACCTCAGCTATGGAGGGAACTTCAAGGTGAGAGAAAACAAAACTAACTGGACTGTGTGTAGTTTCCAAAATACCCAGCAGGTGTTGCCCTAGGGGGTTTTTAGCACATCTGGACCGTGCTTGATGGGACTTTCCCTTGACTTCACATGTAGGGCCTTTATGGTTTGAATGACTCAGTGTGCAGGGGCTTCAAGAGGCCATTTGTTTCCCTGTCTGTCTGACATGCTGTGGGTTGATATCTGTGTATCACAGCCTGTTCCACCCCAGTGGAAAATACCCCTGGTGCATTCTGTCAGTCTAAAAAAGGCCTGTTTTCCACCTGCATGGTGCACATTATGTGGGTTATAATTGTTATTGTTAAGCTTACTTTTTAACCATTATCTTTTCCATCACCTTATGTAAATATATGTTTCCTATCTTTCGACACCCAAAGAAAGACTGATTGTTATTTTCTATGAAAGACTCCATCTTCTATGTTCTACAAAACGTCACTACACATGCGTTTACTAAAACCTTACTATTTAAAAGAAACACACATTGTTCATTGCATGTGTTACTGTTACTCAGTTACATTTTCTATAAAAAATGTACTTTACAAACTATTCAAGTTTGATACAGTAGTATTATTATCATCAGGGGTGTGCCAGAGATGTTGTCTGGTATCATACTGTATCTTAATTTTTGGAAGTAACTTTTAAGTAATCTTTTCCTGGAATTAAAGACCTATAGTATATTCACACTTGTATTCTGAACTCATCTCGCAGTTTAGATTGAGTGGAAAGAACAATAAATGCCTCTAGTGTCTCCTGTGCCATCATCATGTTCCTATATGATTAATTGAGTGTTGTTTAAATACCGTATCTTTATCGTCACCCCTGTAATATCATCCAATGTGTATTGGAGTATTCTGCTTGTAGTGTCACGTTGTTACTACGTCTAGCTCCAAACATGAGTTTAAAATCTAAGTGCAGTTACAAGCATTGGTCAGCAGAATGCGCTACTGCATCAAATAAACATAGAAACCATGCTTTGAGAGAAGAAGTACTGAAAGGGAGAGGTCGCTTTTGTAGCCTTGCTTAACTGAGCCTTATGAGGACAAAGTTCTGCTTTCATTTGAATCAATTTCAAATACTTTGTCCTGAAATGGGGTAAGGCAAGCTTGTTTAAAACAGACAATTAGTAAATAAAAACATAATAATACATATAATATAGTAATATGGTATGGAACAATATGTGAAATTAGACATTGTTTGTGGCACAAAGTCAAATTATGTCAGAAAGGCGAAGTGAATTAAATTAAATTATTACATGGAGTAAATGAAATGGCTTCTTTTACCTAGGCTGTTCACACATGTCTTTTTTTGAGGAATTTAGTGGAAATCAGACAAATTTAAAAGGAATAAGACGTTGACAGTAATCTGCAGTCCACTCCAAATAAGTAATATTTGTTCTTGAATTTTGAGAGGAATAAAAATGTAGGCCCCAGTGTTTGGACCTAAAAACCATTCTTTAAATACAGATAGTGCGCTAGAATGTGAATATTGCACTCTCAAATTCATCAAACTGTTGAATTTCCGAAAACGCACTTATACATCATCCTAAATCTCCTGCAAAAATTTGTAACTGTGTATTACTGACAGTGAAACAACATAATATTGGTCTGCGGTGTGTAGTGCTTTCACAGCTTTGAAGTATAACACTTTTTACTCTTAAAAAATGCTGTGTATGTATATATATATATATATATATATATATACACGTAATCCCTCTATATCAAATCTTTAAGATCTCTGCAAAAAACTGAACTCGCCCTTTTGTTCTAGTTTGACTGCACTATCTCAGTCTTGTGGTGCAGACTGCTTACCTTTCAGAGATGCTGTTGAGCTCTGTAGCTCAGGATGTGGTGGCTTTTGCAGTCATGCTTATCTGGTCATCACTTTGCTGAATGGAGACTATATATGGCTGCAGAAAGTTAACAGAGTTGTGGGGAGAGTCGCATAAAATATACATTAAAGTCAAAATCACAATTGTACCTACTTAACTGATTGCAAAACATAAAATGGTCTCTTTTCATAATGGAGTGAATCATTGCAATATGTCCACATCATTTTCACATCTGGACTCACTGAAAATACTTTTTTACTGCTTGAAATATAAATATATTCAGTGTAAATCAAGAGCGTTTAATTATTATAAAAACCGTGTTTAAACAAGACAACATTTCAGACACTAACTGATGTTCTCACTTCAGACAACCCAAGAAATATTTTCCTATATTTCAGCTTCATGTTGTGTCCGTACCGGCCTAATTATTAGATGTATATGATCCTTCATCCTAGTAGCTTAATGTTCTGATGTATCCTGCTGAACACTGTGAAATCATCCGTTAATAAATACATTTGGGTACTTGCCCGAGTTTCCCACACTTCAAACAAGCAGAAAGAGTGGTAAAAACCACCAAGTGATTAGATAAGGAGTAGGTTATTTCCATTTATGAGGTATAAAGTTGCCCTCATGCACTTTAAAGACAAGTTTTTTTTATCAAAGAGCGTCACAAGTGTGTCATTTCCTCTCTTGCAGCGAGATCGAGGTGAAGATCAGAACCATTCTCGTGTCTCTAGTGTTTGAAGATCCCCTCCATGTTCTTATGTTGCCTAATATATCCTTGACTACACCAAAGTGTTTCTGAGTAAAGTCTATTATAAGAGAGATGTTCACACATTATTCACATTATTCTGAAGGGCAGATCAGAGATCACAGAAAGCAAGAGTTTTATAGCAGTGAAATTGACTGTTTTTGATGTAGCTTACTTCCATACCTTCCAAAATATACTATTGTCTGTTACACAACCACTAACATAATGTCAGCTTCCAGTTGCAAGTTAACAAACTACATCAAATAAATATGCTGACTACACTAACCAATATACAACCGCTAGACCCTGATTTTCAAAATTAATGTTTTATTTTTCTTTAATTGTTGCAGGAGTGGGTGAAGCCTGTCTTCAGCGAGAGTGAATACGTGAGGATCAACTCTCATGCTCAGATGATTAGTGAGAAGCAGCCCAAAGTCCTTCAGTGGAACAACGAGAAGCAAAGTAACAGGGAGGGCAACGGGGTGAAAGGAGGTGTTGATCTCTTTCAAATGCTGCAGCCAAACAGCGACTCGCTGCTGTTCTTCCAGGACGGAGGCAGTTCACAGGGCGCCGGTCACTCCACAGGACACGTCTCCATCCATACTGTAACGCTGTCTGGAGAGGAAGAGTTTGAGCAGGAAGGGGTGTCACAGAGCTCAGTCAATACCTTCAGAAGTTACCAAGATGGAGAACATATCGGTTCATTTGAGGGGGACAACAGAGTACAAGCTCGATATGATTTAGAAGAACTTCATAGGCAAAGTGGGTTATTACCACAACATCGAATATCTAATGACTTATTAGAGGAAAATAGAAACTTTCAGCCGCCTGCTCAGATTATTGAACCAGAGAGGGTATCACTGGTCTCGTTCGCCTCAAACGAGCAGTCAGAAGATGGCTACCCTCGCATAGACCTGGACACTATTGACAGTGGATTTGGAGAGTGCAGCAGCCCTGGAGCCTCAGACTCAAACATGGGAGAGCAGATGGACTCTGAATTGTTTCATGATCACAACAGCTCCAATTCTAACTATGTCAAACAGTGGATGATATGTGGCTCTATACAAGAAGGCTCCAGCAACTCAGAGAACGAACTTCACGAAACACAGTGATTGTTCCGATGATTTACTGCCATCATCACTGTGGGACACGTATTCAACCCTTAAATGTTTTCTGTATGTCTTTATGTCTTGTGTCTTTATTAGGATCCCCATTAGCACTAGCATGAGCATCGGCTATTCTTCCTGGGGTCCTCACACACACAAAACATACATAAACATACATACAACAAAATTAAAACAAAAACAAAACAGCTCATCATTTCATGGAATTATACAGTGCTGTGTTAAATGAAAACTAAAATGGTCATCCAATTATCGCCATCCTAAGGCCAAACAAAAGTAAATACAAATAAGTGTACATAATAATATATGCATACATAGCCACAGGCACAGTTCAAATGTACTTTATAATACTTAAAAAAATGTTTAGCAACCTTTTGAAATGTACTTGAGAATGTTCCCGAATGATATGGATGGGTAAAGAGTTCCATCTGACCATGGCTCTGTGCATGACTGTTTTCTGTCCCTTATTGGATTTAGATTTGGGTAATGCAAACCTTCCTTCTATTGTATGTTGTGTTTGATAGTTATGTTGAGCATACTGCGCTATAAACCTTTGTGATAATATATGTGGTGAGTGAGTCACTGTAATATTTCTGACAAAATGTAAGAAAATATAATTAGACCTCTGTCTGACACCATTTCAGTGTCTCCAGCATTTCAGTTACTGTGGTTCTGTAGGAGCATGTTGTGCTACTTGTAGTTTGTTTAAATCTTTTTCTGCAGCACTAGACCATATAACCAAATGCCATTATAGATACAGATATTCTGTATTAATGTTATCATTATGAATGGATTTCAATCTAATATATTGTCTATATTATCAAGTATTAAATCCCATGCTTCCTTCCTGTTTTGTAAGACACCGTGAGAGAAAAAATTCCGGGCACCGAGGTGAGTGCGATCCGGGCCCTGCTGCGGAGGAAATGCAACAAACACGTTTTTTGGTTTGTTGTTGTTTTTATGTCATTAAAATGATGTTTTTCTCATAATTGAGGTGTAATTTGTCATGAAACAGAATAGCACACTTGGTGTGTACTTAAGTGGTATCCGGAAGTAGCTTAAAGTGTATGAAGTATAATAGTGATGTATTGTAAGTATGCTTCTGTAACACATAACCCAGTACTTGCAGTGGTAACATTATTGTACTTAAAATACACTTCTATTCTGTAGTATAAGCAGTGATACCATAAACTTCTACTCTACATTATAGTATAATAACATTATACTTAAAATACATGGATTTATTGTGCTTAAATTGTGATAGAACCTTACTATAAATACATTTTTATTAACATAATAGCACAATTTAAAAGTATTAAATACAGTCAGAAAGTGCATTTGAAGTTAATTGGAAATATAACAGGTGTGCTTGAATAAGTATGATAATAGTATGTTGAAAACACACTTGAATGCCCTTTTAAGTATATTTCCAACACACTGGTGATACAATACAATTGTGCTTAAAGTGTGTTTCGAATTCACACAAATCATGATCTTAACTGGTGCACTTTAGTACACTTAAAGTTTACAAAAGTTGTGCCAATTTAGCACACTATTTACACTTCAAGTATACTCAACTAATGATTAAGTAGTACTCCAGTACTACTTGAGTACACTTTAGTATACTTGAATGCGACCAAAATAGCACATTTATCTAA